GGGGGGGGTTGACCTGTCTTCTTGGCTTAGGAGGGCGGGCTGGTGTCGAGCTCAGGTACTTATCCCACACTTCACGGGCACGAGTAGTGTACTTTGCCTTTTCTTCAGGACTCATCAGCTTCCATGCATCTGAGGCTGCCTTTGTGGCCTAAAAAGTAATGCTCTCACATTAACATGTTCGTGTGTAACAGAGGTATACAATGATGCATCTGATAGTGAAATATAGACATAGATTCTTACAGCTTTCAGGCCTGAAGATTCAGGATGTGTAGCACTATACTCTTTAATAAAGTCACGGCTGAAAACAACATTTTCGATGTTAGCAGAAAATAGTATTTCAAAAGCAGCGGAAAAATAGATAAACAACTCATAATGGACAAGGTATCTACTCATATGAACATGTTACCTGAAGTGCACCCAAGAACAAGCAGGACGAGGATTGGCAACTTGCTTTTTCTTCTTTTTTCTGCTCCCTTCAGGTTCACCAATATCTTGCTCCTTCCTCTTTCCCATTGCATAATCTCTTTCACCGGGCAGCTTAAAATTAAAGACGGAAAAGTTTAGATATCTATAATATACTAATTCACCCTTAAAAAGAACAAGAAAACATGTATGTTAAATCTGCATCAGGACAAGAATGTTAGACGAGTCAAATCAGGAAGATGATACCAAAGCACATAGATTCAGAAAATTTGAACTCTTTTGATTGTACAGCAAATGAACAAATTCACCACTTCTAAAAAATGCAACCATTATATGCAACGATGCCCCAAACTACAGCATCAGCTGAAAACATGACTGCACGTTAGACTGCAGTATATGCATACAGATTCAGCTTCTCCAAAATGTCAGTTTCTTCATACTGTCAATTTCATTAAAAAACAGTGCATCCCATTTTGCGAATGACGTGCTATTAGGCCATGTAATGGAGTAAAATATGATGATAGTCCAATACAAAGCAGCTCACCAAGGCTGACTCCTGCAATTTGACAGTATATTGTCATTGCTTTAAAGACAAGTTTGCTTGGACAATTCAAGTGAAATTACGTCATGCTTCTCCAGCTAGTACTCAAAACAAAGCATTTCACTGATTTTGCTATTGCATGCTAAAGTTGAACAGCTATTTAACACAGACATCACACACACACACACACACTCTCTATACACACCAACACACTCACACACATCATCACACACACAGAGGAACAGATAGAAACAGACAGAAAGCCAAATGTGTGTGTGTGTGTAATAGGTGTTCGCTTTAGCATGCAATAGAAAAATCACACAAACAAAGAGAAACTGATAGAGAGCCAAATGATCAAAAATGATGAATAACAAGTGGATGCTACGCTTCGACGAAAACAATGAATCATAGCAACAACACAATGAGGTATAAAACAAAAAATTAAAAAGCAAAATGAAATGGAAGTGAAATTGAGAATTGAAACCATTGTAATTGTGTGGTGAGGAGGAGAGGTTTCGTTGTTGAGATCAGGTGGAGAAGCCTCAACCTCGACCATGTCGATTTATAGGGAAAATACTAGGGTTCCGGCAGCTATAGAGTGACGACGGAAGCTCATCGGCGAGGAGAAGGGCAAGTTCGCCGGTGTAGGGGAATTCAGGCGTTCAGCAATTTTTTGTGCTGATTAGGGTTGTACCTTTAGGTTCTTTGCTTAATTGCTTTATTTTTTAGTTTCTTTTTTCTTCTTTTACTCGGGAAGAGGAAGGGTACAATTGGGGCACCGGTTTAGCCTGTTTCCTTTTAAAGAACGTATTAGAGTTTTATGTTTTTATCTTTTGTCTACTGAATTTATTACTCTCTCAATACATTTGGATAATTAAATTATGTAACATCAATAAAGATAAAACTAATTGAGGATATTCGTTGTTAGAATAAAATGAACATATGGAATGGACAGTAGCATAGCTTGACGGCTTTAATTGAACCTACATAATTTTAAAGTATATGTGAATTCACTAAAATTTGAATAAATTTGAACTGTTGAACTTATAATTTTAAATATGCAAATGAGTTATGTATTTAGAATATTAAAGATTAAACCCATTGGTTTAACTTCTAAATTCGAATTTGAGAGTAGATATAAATTGTTCACATTATAGACAAAATTTAATTTAGGGTTGATATAAGATTAACTAATTGATAGTCAAATAAAATAAAGTTGAGCTCCCAAAGTACTATAGTGTCATTAGATTTTGGGAGGACTTTAATTATGTGTATTTAATATGACATTGTATTGCATTGTCCTTTCACTTGTGGGGAGCATCAAGAACACCATTAGAGTGACTTTCACTTCGCTAAACAGGGTCCTTTCCTAGTGTTGTTTTTTTTTTTTTTTTTTCTCAAGAATCAAATAATACCCGAAAAATGAAAAACATCATATCATATCATCATTCATCATACTATATTACTAGTATCTATAAACGTGCGTTGCACGTTAATAATGACACATGATGGTTTAAATATTTATTTATATGAATAAACAATAAAACTTAATTATTTGATTTACAAAAAAATATATAAAATTATAAAACTAACATGTAAAATAATAAAACTAGCAAATAATAAAAGATAGCTTGGTGCTACTGGCCTCAAATATCGAGCCTGGAACTCATATATGAATACTCTGTCCAATTAAATATTGTATAATTATAAAAAATAATTATTAATTTACAAGACAAACATATAAAATTATAAAACTAACATGTAAAATAATACAACTGACACATACAAGAATTCAGGATAGTTTGGTGCTACTGGGCCTCAAATATCGAGCCTGGAACCCATATGTGAATACTCTCTCCAATTAAATATTGTATAATAATAAAAATTAATTATTTAATTTACAAAACAAACATATAAAATTATGAAACTATCATGTAAAATATATAAAACTAACACATACAAGAATTCAAGATAGTTTGGTGCTACAGCGCCTCAAATATCGAGTCTGGAACCCATATGTGAGTACTTAATAATTAAATATTGTATAATTATAGAAATTAATTATTTAATTTTCAAACAAACATGTAATTAATGTTGTTTAATTTACAGTAGACGACATGGATGTGTCGTCTATGCATCCCAGACCTTTCTGCGATGAGCTACTGTCGTTATAGGGCGATATATGACCGCCCGCATATGGGAGAGAGAGTTACTGCCCCAGACTCTCCGCGCCAGGAGAGTGGACGACATGTGGAATTTTCTGAAGGGCAAAGTTCTCCATCCCCGTGTAGTCAGACGCCTGCGGGATACGGGCTTCTACAGGATTTTGGAGATCGGGCGGCTGCAGCTCGATTGGTCTTTGGTCACGGCCCTGATAGAGCGGTGGCGACCGGAGACGTACACATTCCACTTGCCATTTGGCGAGGCCACCGTCACACTGCAGGACGTAGAGGTTTTATATGGGCTGCCCATTGATGGACACCTCGTCGCTCTGCCACAGCGTATGAGAGAGATGGCACATGGGCAGTACCTGGACATGCTACAGCAGCTCACTGGTTTCCGGCCACAGGATGAGACAGCACAGGCAGGGGCCGGTCGCCTGAGGTTGACGCCTATTCGACAGCATTTGGAGATATTGCACCCCGACATCACTAGCGAGATAGATGATCTGCAAATTCACCGGTATACTAGGTTGCTGCTACTCCTTGGGGTCTTGTTCTCGAACACTTCGGGGAACCTAGTCAGCTTGAGATTTCTTCCTCATCTTGAGCGGCTAGATGATTTACCCCAGTACAGCTGGGGTGCTGCTGTTCTCGCCTACTTGTACAGGCAGATGTGCTGGGCGAGCATGGTCACCCAGCATGACGTATGTGGATTTTTGTCGCTGCTACAAGTGATAACATATTCGAATACTCTATTCATTATAACATATCTAGTAAAAATATATCTTAAATTTTAAGTCAACTTTGTGTGTTAGGTTTGGGCCTACCACCATTACCTCCGGATGTACCACCTCCGTTTCTCCCTCTAGCTAGGAGGTGGGTTCTCCGGCGGGGATACGTACATATCTACGAGGCTCGGCATAATCTCCCCCCTTGCAGGTATTTGTTGGATATGTTGGAGGGTGCACAGGTAAATGTATACCTAAGTTTACTTGGCATAACTTCACATGTGTTGCGTATACTCACGTTTTCTGTTGTTACTTAATAGTTCATCTGGACGCCATACATCGACGAGTTGATAGGTGGCCTGTCCGATTATTGCTCGGCTTATTTGGAGCTCTTCCGTCCCGCTGATGTGCCACGATATTATGGAGCATCATGCCACGGAGCGGGTACTTCGCCAGTTTGGCTGTCCGCAGCTTGTACCGAGACCGCCCACATGGCAGCCCACACATTACCAACGGGATTATCGTTCCAGGGTGGATGACGCATATGTGGCATGGCTAAAGGCGCAGGTCGATACTTGGGACCATCGAGCTGGCCTGATTTCCTCCCCCCCCCCCCTTCACCGAGCCGGATAGATACTTTTCATGATTATATGCCCTGGTACCGTGGCATTACCCGACTTTTCCTCGGGAATCCCATTCATCGAGCTGGCGGTCGGTACGTTCCATACGCCGGGCGGCACGAGGCACTGGTATGTTATTTGGTATTCTTACTTATATAACTGTAACCTAGCGCTCTGTAATTTATATTTTACACGCTGTGCAGGCTATTGGCCTACATCTATTCTACCAGTTGGGCTGCAGATGCATCAGCATGCCGGCGAGGGAGCGGCCATTTTGCACGATTATGTCTGGCAGGTTACAAAGCTGGCTTCCCGGACACTGTAGCGAGCCCGAGAGGATGAGCGCTTAGTACACGACCCTACTTATGTGGCGCCAGAGCATTACCATAGAGGTAGGGTTGTCCCACGAGGTAGGAGACAACGAGGCAGGGCTGTCCCACGGGGTCATGCGGGCTAGCAGGGAGGTGGTCCCCAGCAAAGGGGCGTTGAGGCACCTATTGAGGATGTTGGAGCTGATCTGCCGGGTGACCTCCATGAGCCAGTCGGGCATCACAGCAGCATGCCGTAATTCAGCCTTCAGTTGCCGCCTCCTGAATTTGCACTCCCGGTGATCAGTTGCAGCCATCCACGTTAAATCATGCAAGTTCTTGTTGGGATATTTCTTCTAGAAATTGGCATTCAGGTGCCTCACACAGTAACGATGGTATGCATACGGTTCCTGCCATTCAGGCAAATGCTCTACGGAACTTCATATACCCCTATGCCGATTAGATATTAGACAAATACCTGAACGTTATTTGACAACGTCCTCCTTCAAATGGTTCAAAAATAGCGTCCACGTCTCTTGGCTTTTATTGGCAAGATGGCAAAAACTAGGGGAAATATTTGTCTATTGGCATCTACTGCAAAGGCGATCAACAACTCAATATCATACTTTCCATAGACATGACTACCGTCTATGGATATTACCGGACGGCAATGTACAAAACCATCAATTGCTGGTTTAAATTCCCAAAACACATATCCGAATATATATTCCGGTATTCTTGTACTCCGCTCAAGCTTTCATTCAACAACAGTCCCGGGGTTAAAGTGTTGCAATGCGACCATGTACCTGGGTAGAGATGCAAATGACTTATCCCAGTCACCATAAATAATTTCAAATGCACGTTTGCGCCCGGGATATGCCTTTCTTTTGGTAATAGTACACCCATATTCCTGGTGGACGGATGTAATACACTCTTTGATCTTGTATATCATGGACGCTTCAATGTGCGGAATCAGTTAAAGAGAAATCAAGTCAACATCCAAGTTGAAGTGATTCCCATGGAATGTGTCCATTTCACAATTGTGGGTGCCAATAATGTACCCACTTTCCACAACCCTGTTTTCTTCTTGCTCGCACGCAGCATCCAATGACAACCTGTAAACCATCTACAACAAACAACCTTGTATACATCCGGACTGACTCCCATACCGTCATCTCACGACACTCTTTTACGCTTTATATTTTCACCGCCCTGCTTAGGCGCGCTTTATGAGGAAAAAGCATGCCTTTTGCCAGCACCGTTGGTCTAGACTCATCCCACATTGCTGTCCGAATTTCGTCAAAATCCCTTGTGAGGGCATCCACATCCGGCATACTTGGCAAATGATCAAGGTAGGGAATATGCCTTGAATGAACCGGCACGTAGGACTCGTACACTCTTGGTCTAACGGGAGGTGGAGCATGCCCCCTCGTCAAATCAGATTCGGCATTCTCTTCCTCCTCCTCATCACTCTCGTCAGGGAAGGGTGTGTCATCCCCAGACTCATCGGCATTGTTGTCATAATCACTATTATCTTCCTGACTCTGCGCATCTGCCAAATCCCGAGTAAATACGTCGTCTACGGGCAACTAAGCGAGGACATGACCATCAAGTTGCTCGTTTTCACTGCACAACAACAAAATAATAAGCTACTCAAATTGATAAATACTTTACATATAGCTATATCACTTCACTTACAAGTCGTAATGTGTTTACATTCCATGATGTACATTATCTTGTTGGTGATGACTCCCGGATGGACCACCATGATCCAACACACCAAAACTACGCATATTTCAACTGGGCGTAGGTTCATAACTTGTAAAATTCATATCTGGACGGTACCCCATGTGGAATATATGAGTGTTAATATAAAATCAATACAACAAAAATAAACATCGTAACACAAAGAAAAATTGAAGTTTACCACTCGTCTTGTGGATTA